CACTAAGAACTAAGTTCTAAAACTAGAAGTATGTTAGAAACGAGGGAAGTTTAGATGTTGATGGAATTGTTCTTGACAGTCCTAAAGACTGGAGGAAGTAGAGAACCAGCTGGAACAGCATTGGAGGGGCAGCACTGAAGGGGTGCATGTTATGACCTTGTAAAAAATCCTCTGCATAATGTAGTATGAGAAATGTGGCCTGTGGGGCTGCTACACTGGGCTCTCATGAATTCTGTGCCTCAGTTTCCACATCTTTGAAATAAGGGTTCTGATCTTGTGAGGACTGAGTTAGTACATGTAATTGCTGGAACATATTAAACACCTAAATAGACATTCATGGTTGCCTAGCAGACTCATGGGGAGAAATGGTGTCTGTTGAAGAGGCATTTGAAAGTGATGAGAAGTGATTTCCTTCAGGTCCTGATTTTTTTTTTTTTTTTAAAGATTTATTTATTTATTATGTATACAGAAGAGGGCGCCAGATCTCATTATAGATGGTTGTGAGCCACCATGTGGTTGCTGGGAATTGAACTCAGGACCTCTGGAAGAGCAGTCAGTGCTCTTAACCTCTGAGCCATCTCTCCAGCCCCTGATTTTTTTTTTTTTAATATGAACATTTAAAAGCATAGTTTTGAGTCATGTGACTATATATAATCAAACTTAGTCTCATGTCTAGCTATTTTAGTTATATTTTAGAAATGTCAGGCATGGTAGCACATGCCTCTTTAATCCCTGCACTCAGGAGGCAGAAGGATCTCTGTGCTATGAGTTTGAGGCCAGCCTAGTCTTTATATTGAGTTCCAGTACAGCCAGGACTACATAGAGAGACCCTGTCTCAAAACAAAACAAAACAACAAAAAAATGTTGGGGCTAGAGAGATGACTCAGCAGTTAAGAATGCTTGTTGCTATTCCAAAGGACCTGAGTTGGGGTCTCAGTACCCATGTTGGGTAGCTAACAACTGCCTGTAACTCGAGCTGGCCACCAGGGGCACCCTCAGACACAGCATATACTTACACAGACAAACACATAAAATAAATCTTTTAAAAAAAAAAGTCACTGGGTGGTGATGGTGCACACCTTAATCCCAGCATTTGGAAGGCAGAGGAAGGCAGATCTCTGAGTTCGAGGGTAACCTGGTCTACAGAATGAATTCCAGGACAACCAGGGCTACACAGAGAAACCCTGTCTTGAAAGAAAAAGAAGAGAAAAAAATGGGCCAAGGCTTCAGATTTTAAGTTGCTGTCTTATCTGCTGTGATTTTGTTTGAAGTGTTTCCTCATATATTTCATGTGCACCCAAGTTAAGTTGGGTTTTTCCATAGAACTGGATCCAAAGAATTTTACAGGTAGCTTTTAAGTGTCTTCCAGCTCTGCTTTTAGATTTGATGATACTTCTCCCTCACCCCTTAGCACTGTCTCTGAATATGCGAGCTCTAGCTTAGTTCTGTAAGACCTAGTTTTTGTTTTTTTGTTTTTTTTTTTTTTTGGTTTTTCGAGACAGGGTTTCTCTGTGTAGCTTTGCGCCTTTTCCTGGAACTCACTTGGTAGCCCAGGCTGGCCTCGAACTCACAGAGATCCGCCTGACTCTGCCTCCCAGTGCTGGGATTAAAGGCGTGCGCCACCACCGCCCGGCGAGAAATAGAGCTTACGTCTTTTTTTTTTTGGTTTTTCGAGACAGGGTTTCTCTGTAGCTTTGCGCCTTTCCTGGAACTCGCTTTGGAGACTAGGCTGGCCTCGAACTCACAGAGATCCGCCTGGCTCTGCCTCCTGAGTGCTGGGATTAAAGGCGTGCGCCACCACCGCCCGGCTGAAGACCTAGTTTTTAAACCATTTCTGTCATCCATGCAGAATGTCTGCTTGTGCTCCTGTTTGAATGACATGAAGATTATAGCAAGGAACAGCAGTCTCTGCCCTTTAGGAGTTTACATTTTAGGTTGAAAGGAGGGGTAAGACAGTATACATTTCTTTGCTTTATTTGACTGTACTGCAGCTCTGTTGTGAGTGAAGGAACAAAGTAGGGAGGAAGGAGGAACAAAGGTGAAGGTGTGTAGTAACTGTTTTAAACAGGATGGCCAGGAGGGAGGCCTTGCTAACTGGTAATGCTTGTCCGGAGACTGAAAAGAGGTAAAAAGGACAGACCATGTGGCTAGCAGAAAGCAGGTGGTGTATGTGTGGAAGTGAGCATGGAAGCAGAGAAGTGTGTTGGTGGCCTGGCCCAGACAGAGCAAGGAGATGGTGAATGTGATTAGTTGCCTATTTTAACTTCCTTTAAGGGGAACTAAGAAACTAGCTTTGTAGACCATTGTGGGAAAAGTGTATTAGGATTAGCTCATGTATATTCATAAACTTTCATAACTTCTTTTTAAAATAGTTAGTTTTTAAAGTCCTTTGAAGAAATTTGACCTTGTCTTACTCGTCTCTGACTCTGAGGAGGAGACAAGCCCAAGCAAAGGTAAAAATCAAATCAGTTTAGGAGGCTGGAAAGATGGCTCAGTTGGTAAGAGCATATACTGCTCTTACAGAATACCCAGGTTCCATTCCCAGCACCCACTTCTGTTGGCTCAATAACCACCAGAACACTCCAGCTCTAAAGTTTCCAACATCCTTTTCTGGACTCTGTAGGCCCCTGCACTCAAGTGCACATACCCATACACAGATACACATACATCCATATAACTAAAAATAAGTATTAAAAAATCTATTTAAATATGAGGGTGATACATTAGTAAAAATCCTGAAATGGCAGCTCAGTCAGATAGCTGGAAGTCTGGCTCCTGGGTGTATACATAAAGCACACACACATTTTTTCTTTTCTTTTCTTCTTTTCTTTTCTTTTCCTTTCCTTTTTTCTTTCTCTTTCTCTTTTTCTTTCCTTCCTTCTTTCTTTCTTTCTTTCTTTCTTTCTTTCTTTCTTTCTTTCTTTCTTTCTTTCTTTCTTTCTTTCTTTCTTTCTCTTTCTCCCTCTTTCTCTTTCTCTCTCTTCCTCTCTCCCTCCCTCCCTCCCTCCCTCCCTCCCTTCCTTCCTTCTTTCTTTTTCTCAAGACAGGGTTTCTCTGTGTAGTTTTGGTGCCTGTCCTGGATCTTGCCCTGTAGCCCAGGCTGGCCTCGAACTCACAGAGATCCGCCTGGCTCTGCCTCCCAAGTGCTGGGATTAAAGGCGTGTGCCACCACCGCCCAACTTTTTCTTTTTTTTCCTTCCTTCCTTCCTTCCTTCCTTCCTTCCTTCCTTCCTTCCTCCCTCCCTCCCTCCCTCCCTCCCTCCCCCCCTTCTCTCTCCTTTCTTTCTTTCTTCTTTTAGATTAGGATTCTTTCTTTTCTTTTTTTTTTTTTTTTTTGGTTTTTTGAGACAGGGTTTCTCTGTGTAGCTTTGCGCCTTTCCTGGAACTCACTTGGTAGCCCAGGCTGGCCTCGAACTCACAGAGATCCGCCTGGCTCTGCCTCCCGAGTGCTGGGATTAAAGGCGTGCGCCACCACCGCCCGGCTCTTTTCTTTTTTTGAGACAGGGTTACTTTGTGTAGTCCTGGCTGTCCTGAAACTCACTCTGTAAACCAGGCTGTCCTCGAACTCACAGAGCTCCTCCTGCCTCTGCCTCTGGAGTGCTGGGATTAAAGACATGTGCCACCACGCCTGGCTACATTTCAGGATATTTATTTTTATGTGTGTTTTATAGGAATGATTGATTAATTGATTGGGCTACATTTCAGGATACACTTTTATATATGTTTTATATGAATGATTGGTTAATTGATTGGTTTCATATTTATTTTATGTATATGAATGTTTTGCATTTGTGTATGTCTGTGCACTGTGTGTAGCCTGATGCCTTCAGAGGTCAGAAGAGGGCATCAGATCCCCTGCAACAGGAGTTAAGGATGATTGTGAGCCACCATGTTGGTGTTGGGAATCAAACCCAGGTCTTTTTTGCAAGAGCAACAAATGCTCTCTGTGTATATGTGTGCTCTACATATGTCTATACCCAAGGAGATCAGAACAGGGTGTCAGATCTCCTGGAACTGGAGTTACACATTGTTGTAAGACAGTCACTAAACTCAGGTACTTTTACCTCTGAACCATCTTTCCAGCCTTGGATATTTTTTTCAACTCCTTATTTTTGTTGTTCTCTACCATAGGAATAATAGTAATAACCGAATGGAAAGCCACATGAAAAGTACTGAAACTTCTCAGAAACTTTCAGAAGTTTGAAAGAATAGTAACTGCTATTCTCTGGCCTATATCTAGCACTTAATAACTGGAATTTTTTTTAGAAGCATAAATATTTATTTGTAATAATACCTGGAAATTGAAGCTAGATGGTCAAGAGGGGTACTTTGGACAGTTTTATGTCAAGAAGAGGTCATTCAGATCTGATGTTTATATGGGTGACTACAATATAAGGAATCCATAGTAGTTAAGAGTTGAGTGTCCCAGAAGGTAATCATCGTAGGCAGTTGGTAATTACAGTCAACCTGAAGTGGTATACATTCGAATCTGAGGACCTGGCTTTGGTCTCGGGATAGTTCTGTTTCTCAGTCAGTGAGGGGAGTAGGCGTGGATAGCCCCTGACAACTGCCTCATTATTATTTGAGTTATCTTACTTTAGTGGTCAGTCTAATGAGTGAAAATAAAGAGATGAAAATGGTGTTTGTCACCCTTCCCCACTGTAACTGAAGATTAAGAAATGTGTTTTTTGTTGCTTGCAATAGCATCCCAATATTTATCCCAGTTGAGTATTTACCCAAGTTGAATTTTTAAGGCTTGTTTATCTAATAGTGAAATTATGTTGAATGTATTCATATATACCTAGTATTTTCTTTGTTGTATTACAGACACCTTCATTCTTTAGACCATTTCTCTGCTTATTTGCATTATCAGAAATGGCTCAAATAAGGAAAAAGGAGATGAATTTAAAGCAGTAGGCTTTATCTGGTCATTGGGTTATTTATTTTGTTTGTACCAAGCATATGTATGTCTCATGCTTTTCTTTCTTTTTCTTTTGTAGGAGGGCTGTTGGCCTGCTGCTGTGCTGCTGAACAGTATGCAGTCCTTTCGGGAGCAAAGCAGTTACCACGGAAACCAGCAGAGCTACCCACAGGAGGTACACAGCTCATCCCGTCTAGAAGAGTTCAGCTCTCGTCAGGCCCAGATGTTCCAGAATTTTGGGGGAGCAGGTGGTGGTAGTGGTAGCACTGGCAGCAACAGTAGTGGACGGCGAGGAACAGCAGCTGCTGCTGCAGCGATGGCTAGCGAGACCTCTGGCCATCAAGGCTACCAGGGGTTCAGGAAAGAAGCTGGAGATTTTTACTACATGGCAGGTAACAAAGACCCTGTGGCAGCAGGAACCCCACAGCCTCCTCAGCGAAGGCCTTCTGGTCCTGTGCAGAGCTATGGCCCTCCCCAGGGGAGCAGCTTTGGCAATCAGTATGGGAGCGAGGGTCATGTGAGCCAATTTCAAGCACAGCACTCTGCCCTTGGTGGTGTATCTCATTATCAGCAGGATTACACAGGGCCTTTCTCTCCTGGGAGTGCTCAGTATCAACAGCAGGCCTCTAGCCAACAACAGCAGCAGCAGCAGCAGCAGCAACAACAGCAACAACAGCAGCAGCAGCAGCAGCAGCAGCAACAACAAGTACAGCAGTTGAGACAACAGCTTTACCAATCTCATCAGCCTCTGCCCCAAGCCACTGGACAACCAGCTTCTGGCTCATCCCATCTGCAACCAATGCAGAGGCCGTCAACTCTACCATCTTCTGCTGGTTATCAGTTAAGAGTGGGTCAGTTTGGCCAACACTACCAGTCTTCTGCGTCCTCCTCTTCCTCCTCCTCCTTTCCTTCACCACAGCGTTTCAGTCAGTCTGGACAAAGCTATGATGGCAGTTACAGTGTGAATGCTGGATCTCAGTATGAAGGACATAATGTGGGTTCTAATGCACAGGCTTATGGAACACAATCAAATTATAGCTATCAACCTCAGTCTATGAAGAATTTTGAACAGGCAAAGATTCCACCAGGAACCCAGCAGGGGCAGCAGCAGCAGCAGCAGCAACAGCAACAGCAGCCACAACCTCCTCAACAACAACAGCAGCAGCAGCAGCAGCAACAGCAGCAGCAACAACATCCTCCCCAGCATGTGATGCAGTACACCAATGCTGCCACCAAGTTGCCCCTGCAAAGCCAGGTGGGGCAGTACAGCCAGCCTGAGGTTCCTGTAAGGTCCCCTATGCAGTTCCACCAGAACTTCAGCCCTATTTCTAACCCTTCTCCAGCTGCTTCTGTGGTTCAGTCTCCAAGCTGTAGCTCTACCCCATCTCCTCTCATGCAGAGTGGTGAGACTCTCCAGTGTGGGCAAGGCAATGTGCCCATGAGTTCCAGAAACCGAATTTTACAGCTAATGCCCCAACTCAGTCCAACCCCATCAATGATGCCCAGTCCTAATTCTCATGCTGCAGGATTCAAAGGGTTTGGATTAGAAGGCGTGCCAGAAAAGCGCCTGACGGATCCTGGGTTGAGTAGTTTGAGTGCTCTGAGTACTCAAGTGGCCAATCTTCCTAATACTGTCCAGCACATGTTACTTTCTGATGCCTTGACACCTCAGAAGAAGACTTCCAAGAGGCCATCATCATCATCTAAGAAAGCCGATAGCTGTACAAACTCAGAAGGTTCTTCACAGCCTGAAGAACAACTCAAGTCCCCTCTGGCAGAGTCATTGGATGGAGGTTGCTCCAGTAGTTCAGAAGATCAAGCTGAGAGAGTGAGGCAACTGAGTGGCCAGAGCACGAGCTCTGACACCACCTACAAGTGTGGAGCTTCAGAGAAAGCTGGCTCCTCACCAACACAAGGTGCTCAGAACGAGGCCCCTAGGCTCAGTACCAGTCCTGCAACTAGGGAAGAAGCTGCCTCTCCAGGTGCTAAGGACACGCCACTATCTGAGGGGAACACAAAAGTAAATGAGAAGACAGTTGGGGTGATTGTCTCCCGGGAAGCCATGACAGGTCGGGTAGAAAAATCTGGTGGACAAGATAAAGGATCCCAAGAGGAGGATCCTGCTGCCAGTCAGAGGCCACCTAGCAATAGTGGTATAAAGGAAGCCAGCCACACATCACTTCCACAGCCAGATCCTCCAGGAGGAGGGAGCAAAGGAAATAAGAATGGTGATAATAGTTCTAACCACAATGGAGAGGGGAATGGCCAGAGTAGCCACTCAGCAGTAGGCCCAAGTTTCACAGGCAGGACTGAGCCTAGCAAATCTCCTGGGAGTTTGCGCTACAGTTACAAAGAGAGTTTTGGGTCAGCTGTACCACGAAATGTCAGTGGTTTTCCTCAGTATCCTTCAGGACAAGAAAAGGGGGATTTTGCCAGCCATGGGGAACGAAAGGGGAGAAATGAGAAGTTCCCAAGTCTCCTACAGGAAGTGCTTCAGGGTTACCACCACCATCCTGACAGAAGGTATCCTAGAAGTGCTCAGGAACATCAAGGGATGACTAGTGGCCTAGAAGGAACTGCAAGACCCAACATCTTAGTCAGTCAAACCAATGAATTAGCCAGCAGGGGCCTTCTAAACAAGAGCATTGGATCCCTGTTAGAAAATCCCCACTGGGGACCATGGGAAAGGAAGTCAAGCAGCACAGCTCCTGAAATGAAACAGATCAACTTGTCTGACTATCCCATTCCCAGAAAGTTTGAGATAGAACCTCCATCATCAACCCATGAGCCTGGGGGCTCCCTTTCTGAAAGGAGGTCAGTGATCTGTGATATTTCTCCACTAAGACAGATTGTCAGGGACCCAGGGGCTCACTCACTGGGACACATGGGTGCTGATGCCAGAATTGGGAGGAATGAGCGTCTCAACCCAAGTTTAAGTCAATCAGTCATTCTTCCGGGGGGGTTGGTGTCCATGGAAACAAAGCTGAAATCCCAGAGTGGGCAAATAAAAGAGGAAGACTTTGAACAATCTAAATCTCAAGCTAGTTTCAACAAGAAATCTGGAGACCACTGCCATTCTACTAGCATCAAGCATGAGTCTTATCGTGGCAATGTCAGCCCTGGAGCAGCAGCCCATGATTCCATTTCAGACTATGGCCCACAAGACAGTAGGTCTACACCAATGCGGCGGGTTCCTGGTAGAGTTGGTAGCCGGGAGACTATAAGGGGTCGAACCTCTTCTCAGTACCATGACTTTGCAGAAAAACTGAAGATGTCTCCAGGCAGGAGCAGAGGTCCAGGAGACCCTCATCACATGAACCCACACATGACCTTTTCAGAGAGGGCCAACAGGAGTTCTTTACATGCTCCTTTTTCTCCCAACTCAGAAAGCCTGGCTTCTGCTTACCATACAAACACCAGGGCTCATGCTTATGGGGACCCTAATACTGGTTTGAATTCCCAGCTCCATTATAAGAGACAGATGTACCAACAGCAACAAGAGGAATATAAGGATTGGACCAGCAGTTCTGCTCAGGGAGTGATTGCTGCTGCACAGCATAGGCAAGAAGGGCCACGGAAGAGCCCACGGCAGCAGCAGTTTCTTGACAGAGTACGGAGCCCCCTGAAAAATGACAAAGATGGTATGATGTATGGCCCACCAGTAGGGACATACCATGACCCAAGCACTCAGGAAGCTGGGCGCTGTCTCCTGTCTAGTGATGGTCTGCCTACTAAAGGCATGGAATTGAAGCACAGCTCTCAAAAGTTACAAGAGTCATGTTGGGATCTTTCTCGGCAGACTTCTCCAGCCAAAAGCAGTGGTCCTCCAGGAATGTCTAATCAGAAACGGTATGGGCCACCCCATGAGACAGATGGACATATACTAACTGAATCTACACAGTCATCCAAACCTAGTAACGTAATGCTACGGCTTCCAGGTCAAGAGGATCATTCTTCTCAAAATCCTTTAATCATGCGGAGGCGGGTCCGTTCTTTTATCTCCCCTATTCCCAGTAAGAGACAGTCACAAGATGTAAAAAACAGTAACACTGATGATAAAGGGCGCCTCCTTCACCCATCAAAAGAAGGTGCTGATAAGGCATACAATTCCTACACCCATCTTTCTCACAGTCAGGATATCAAGTCTATCCCTAAGAGAGATGCCTCCAAGGACCTTCCAAACCCAGACAATAGAAACTGTCCTGCTGTTACCCTCACGAGCCCTGCTAAGACCAAAATACTGCCCCCACGGAAGGGACGGGGATTGAAATTGGAAGCTATAGTTCAGAAGATCACATCCCCAAATATTAGGAGGAGTGCATCCACAAATAGTGCTGAGGCGGGAGGAGATACAGTCACGCTGGATGATATACTGTCTCTGAAGAGTGGTCCTCCTGAAGGTGGGACTGTGGCTACTCAGGAGGCTGAGATGGAGAAGAGAAAAGGTGAGGTGGGATCTGACCTAGTCAGTGCAACTAGCCAGGAATCGAATACTGAGAAACCTCTTCCAGGGCCCTCTGAAGAGTGGCGTAGCAGTGAGGATGACAAAGTCAAGACAGAGGCACATGCAGAAACAGCTCCTACTGGAAAGGAACCTTCTGGTACTATGACGTCCACAGCTTCACAGAAGCCTGGTGGTAACCAAGGGAGACCAGATGGTTCCCTGGGTGGGGCAGCACCACTAATCTTCCCTGACTCAAAGAATGTAGCTCCAGTGGGCATATTGGCCCCTGAGGCAAACCCCAAGACTGAGGAGAAAGAGAATGAAACAGTCATGATTTCACCCAAACAAGAAAGTTTCCCCCCAAAAGGATATTTCCCATCAGGAAAGAAAAAGGGGAGACCCATCGGTAGTGTGAATAAGCAAAAGAAACAGCAGCAGCCACCACCTCCACCCCCTCAACCCCCTCAGATACCAGAAGGTTCTGCAGATGGAGAGCCAAAGCCAAAAAAGCAGAGGCAAAGGAGGGAGAGAAGGAAGCCTGGGGCCCAGCCAAGGAAGCGGAAAACCAAACAAGCAGTTCCCATCGTAGAACCTCAAGAACCAGAGATCAAGCTAAAGTATGCTACCCAGCCACTAGATAAAACTGATGCCAAGAACAAATCTTTTTTCCCCTACATCCATGTAGTAAATAAGTGTGAGCTTGGAGCTGTTTGTACAATCATCAATGCTGAAGAAGAAGAACAGACCAAACTGGTGAGGAGTCGGAAGGGTCAGCGATCTCTGACCCCTCCCCCCAGCAGCACAGAAAGCAAGGTGCTCCCAGCTTCATCCTTTATGCTGCAGGGACCTGTGGTAACAGAATCTTCTGTTATGGGGCATCTTGTTTGTTGTCTCTGTGGCAAGTGGGCCAGTTACCGGAACATGGGTGACCTCTTTGGACCCTTTTATCCCCAAGATTATGCAGCCACTCTTCCGAAGAATCCACCTCCTAAGAGGTCCACAGAAATGCAGAGCAAGGTCAAGGTTCGGCACAAAAGCGCTTCTAATGGTTCTAAAACAGACACTGAGGAGGAGGAAGAGCAGCAGCAGCAGAAGGAGCAGAGGAGCCTGGCTGCTCATCCTAGGTTCAAGCGGCGCCACCGCTCAGAAGACTGTGGTGGAGGCCCTCGGTCCCTGTCCAGAGGGCTCCCTTGTAAAAAAGCAGCCACTGAGGGCAGCAGTGAAAAGGCTGTCTTGGACACAAAGCCCTCTGTCCCTACCACTTCAGAAGGTGGTCCTGAGCTGGAGTTACAAATCCCTGAACTACCTCTCGACAGCAATGAATTTTGGGTCCATGAGGGTTGTATTCTCTGGGCCAATGGAATCTACCTGGTCTGTGGCAGGCTCTATGGCCTACAGGAAGCACTGGAAATCGCCAGAGAGATGGTGAGTAGGAGAAATCCCTTATCAGCTTGGGTTCTGATTACTTCACTTTGGCTTTCTTACACCTTAGTCTTCGTTATGTATCACAAGTTCTTTCCTTGACCCAAATAATAAACAGAAAAGGAAGTGTTTTGAAAAGGTGTAGCTTATATTTTCATCAGTAATGTATCTATAGATTGTAAACTTAAGTTTCTGCCTATATAGCTTTGAGGGAACAAGGGTCCCTGTTTTACCCCTTCTCAACCTTGATTCCTGCTTGTTAGGGGTCATTCACTTTCAGCAGTTCAGCTTCATAAGTATGTCAGCTAGTTCTGAGGAATATTTTACTGTCATTTATTTGGTTAATTTTTATAAGTCAGTTTTCAACGAGTGGCACTCACAGATTGCACTATGATTATATCTCCTTTTTTCTAAAGCATTTCATTACTTTAGGTTTTGTTTAGTTTAATTTGATGTGGTGAGGGGTTTTACTGTGTAACCCAGGCTGACCTTGAACTCACAATCCTCTTGTTTCAGCCTTCCAAGTTCTGGGATTGCAGGTGTGAACCACCACGCGTGGTGTTTGCTCTAGGTTACTAACTCAGTTTCATTTGCTGCTGCTGCTTTTTTGTTTGTTTTGTTTTGTTTTTCAAGACTGTCTCTGTATAGTCCTGGCTGTCCTGAACTGTGTTGTTCAGGCTGGTCTCAAACTCAGAGATCCACTTGCTTCTACCTCCCAAGTGCTGGGATTAAAGGTGTGTGCTACCACAGTCTGACCCTTTTTCTTATATTAGACTTTTATTTAGAGGAGCATCATCCTTTAGTAGTTTGTTTTTGAACATCTTTTAAGTTTGGTGGTTTTTTAAAACTCAAAAAAATTCTTTTCCTTCCTTCCTCCTTCCCTCCCTTCTTTCCTTATGTTTTTATTGGTGTTTTTCCCGTATGTGTCTGTGTGAGAATGTTGGATCCTGGAGTTATGGACAGTTGTGAGCCACCATGTGGGTGCTGGGAATTAAATCCAGGTCCTTTGGAAGAGCAGTCAGTGCTCATGGCTGAGCTGTCTCTCCAGCCCATTTCCTTCCTTTCTTGTCTAAAATGTCTGGTTGTTCATGACTGTCCACTCTGGAGAAAAATATGTTAAATTATTATTTAGAAGTCTCTGTTACAGTATGGACATAGCATTCACTGTGTAGACCTTGACATCTTTCCACTTGTTATCAATATACTCCCTTAGGGAGAACAGTTCTAATGAAGTTGGATTGAGTTAGGGAATTTTACTTCCTCTCTCAGACTTTGAACTTGTGCTCCCATTTTCCAGCCCCACCTCACATACACCCCTTTCCAAGGACTGGGCCTTCTTAGGTTCTGTGCCACAGGTCATTTCTCTTTCTAGTTGTTCCTCTTGTTTTTGTCTTGTTTTGTTTTTTCGAGACAAGGTTTCTCTGTGTAACAGCCCTGATTGTCCTGGAACTCACCTTGTAGACCAGGTAGCCTGGAGCTCACAGAGATCCACCTGCTTCTGCCTTTCTAGTGCTGGGATTAAAAGTGTGTGCCACCACGCCTGGCTAGTTGTTCCTCTTTACACTTTGCTCTCTGCTTCCTTTGAGCCCACGTGATCATTTATCTCCTAATCCAATTTCCTTCCAGCTTTCAGAATTTGTATATTTTCTTACATTCTTCATATCCTCCTTAGCCTCTTGTCTTAGGTAGGGTTTCTATTGCTGTGGTAAAACACCATGACCAAAAGCAACTTAGGAAGGAAGGGTTTATTTCATCTTACAGTTTATAGTCCATCATCCAGGGAAGTCAGAGCAGGAACTCAAGGCAGGAACCTGGAGGTGGGAACTGATGCAGAGACCACAGAGGAATGCTGCTTACTGGCTTGCTCAGTGAAATTTGCTTATATAATTCATGACCTCTGGCTCAGTGGTGGCACCACCTGCAATGGATCTGGCCTTCCCACATCAATAACTAAGTATAAAGCACACCACAGGGGGCTGGCGAGATGGCTCAGAAGTTAAGGGCACTGGCTGCTCTTCCAGAGTTCCTGAGTTCAATTCCCAGTAACCACATGGTAGCTCACAACCATCTATAATGAGATCTGGTGGTACTCTCTTCTGGTGTGCAGGCAGAACACTGTATACATAATAAATAAATCTTTTATAATAAAAAACCACACAACAATAACAGCAAAATGAAAAACACAGACTTGCCCTCAGGCCAGTGTGGTATAGGCCTTTTATCAATTGAGGTTATCTTCCCAAATGACTACCTGTATCAAATTGACATAAAAACTAGCAGTCTACCTGGTGAGTTTACCCACTTCCCATTTTAAGAAGATACCATGTGTGTAAACATATTTCAGCCTACTATATTTTATCAGATTATTGGTCACCAATAATCAGGCTAAATCCCCACTCTGTGCTTAAATCTGTAGTCAAGTGTTACAGAAAGTAAAAGGCACTTTGTAAGTGATGCAGCTACCTTAAATCACAATTAGCTCCTTCCTCTAAAAGGGTGAACAGTGAACAGCATTTTAGTGAAAACATTAAAATTGCTACTCAGAATGTTAGCCTGCTCCTTGTCAGATTTGATCCTAAAATAAAATCTGGAATGTTATAATTGGAACAGATACATCAAATATGGTAATGTCTTTCCTGATCCCCCTTCTGTCACAATTTAGTTGACTGAATGGTTAGAAAACAAAACAACAGCCCCAAGCATTTCATGGCCTGTGAGATAGTTCAGCAGGTAATGGTGCTTGGTGCCAAACCTGAGTTCAATCTCTGGGACCTACATGGTGGAAATACTGAAAGTACTTCTAAAAAAAACACAAAAAGAACTGGAGTTGCAATCATAACTGTTTCAGAAGTGCTTTAATTTTATTCCTTAAAGGATAGAAATTTGAAATGCTTCATTTGAGGAGAATGGTGTAAAGAAGGTCATTTGTAGTAGATTTGAGCCGGAGCTCTGTTTTTAGGTTTGACATGCCTCTGCCCCTGCTCCGTCAGGGCTGCACATCTCATTCTGTGACAGCACCAGTAATTGACCACTCTTAAGTCTCAAGACTGCAGCTTTCAGCTTATTTCCTAACTCATCTTCTGTTTATTTTATATTTCACCTTATGACTAGAATGCTAGCTTTATATTTTAAACTTAACTTTTCAATACACTTGAACATCTGTATTATTCTTGGTCAGCTACCCAGTAAAATGGGAAGAGGAAGAGAAAATAATGTCATTTTATTATACTTAAAAGTCAAGTTAATTGGCTTTCATGCTAATGCTTCTTCCTTCTTTCTTTCCTTTCTTTTTTTGGAAGAAGACCTATGTAGCATAGGCTGTCCTTGAATTCCTGTTCCGTCTGCCTCAACTTCCTAACTGCAACGATTTTAAGTAGTCACTCCCATGACTGACTGACTGACTTTCTTTCTTTTGGCAGAAGCAGGTGGATCTGTGTGAGTTTGAGGCCAGCCTGGCCTACATAGTGAGTTTGCAGGCTTGCAGTGGTCGTAAGACCCTGTCTGAAAAAACAAACAAACATGGCTGGGCATGATGGTACACACTTTTAATCCCAGCCCTCAGGAAGCAGAGTCAGGCAGGTCTTGGAGTTTGAGGCCAGACTAGTCTACAAAGTGAGTTCCAAAACAGTTAAGGCTGTTACAGAGAGAAACCTTGTCTTGAAAAATAAAAAAACAAAACAAAATTTGATGAGGCCATTAATCTCTATAAGAAGTTCAAGGAACTCTGTGGTAGTGAATTTAAACTTTCAGTTTGACCTCATCTATTACCTCTAAACTCCTCTTTGAGTGTTTCTGTGAGGAATTAACAATGAGGTTTAAGTCAAGAAGATCTACCAAAGGCTGAATAGAGTCTGCCTGGTAATGGAAGTTGTTTAACCCAGGGACTCATACATGCTGTGCAAGTATTCTACCACTGAGTTATAGCTCTTGTGCATAATGGATTTTTTTTGTTTTGTTTTGTTTTTTGAAAGGGATCCTTCTATATAGCCCTGACTGTCCTGGAACTCACTGTACATAGTAGACCAGGTGGGCCTCAAACTCACAGAATCCACTTGCCTCTGCTTCCTCAGTACTAGGATTAAAGGTGTGTGCCCCTCTCCCCAGCCCTGATTTTGTTTTAAAGACTTAATTATTTATTTTATGTGCATTTTTTAAAGATTTATTTATTATGTTCTGTCTGTATATTTACCTGCAGGCCAGAAGAGGGCATCAGATCTCATTATAGATGGTTGTGAGCTACCATGTGGTTGACCTAGAGTCATCTCTCCAGACCCCAGTTTTTGTTTTTTAAGTAAACTTCTTCAAAATTCTAGTATTATAATGGAGACCCAAACTAATTAAGAATATGTGGTATATCCACGGACTACTTCAGGACAAATACCCTTCTACCACTTTCTAATTCCTGCCCTTCCCTCAGTTAATGAAATGTGAACTCTAGAGGGCTTAGTATGCTTTAAGGTAATCCTAATGGCTTTCAATTGATGGACATTTCTAGACCCCCTAGATTTTTTTTTTAAACCTAGGAACTATGTGGCCTGGTTTGTGTATCAGGAAGAAGCTCAGGAAAGAGGAAGACATGAGCGGCAAGTAGAGCAGTTGAAATGAATGTGCACAGTAGCTGATGCCATCTGAATATGAAGGAGAAAAGACGGTCAGAAGGGATGGACTCAAGAAATGTTTTAGGATTTATAGTGGGTAGATTCTATAATAACGAGATAGGGCAGCTAAAGGTAAGTGAAGGGGTCCAGGGTATAGCTGCTAAGGTTCTAGCTTTTCTAGCAAGTGGCTAGGGTGGGCGGGAGGGTGCATAGAAGGACGCCACTAACAGAAAAGAGGAAACAAGTTTAGAGTTAATGTGTTGTGGACAGAAGAAAACTAGATAAGGAAGCATTTCAGCCCCAAAGACCTGTTTCAATCAGCGGTAGGGCTTTAGTATAGAGTTTTAAAATTAGAACTAATTTTTTACTTAGTTTTTCAAATAAATGTAAAAATAGTGAACTTTA